GTATTGTGTAGACATGTTCACTGCCATCTTTAAATCTTGTAGTAATAGTAGTTTAAATTAAAAAAACGTTTCTGTCAATATTTAGTTAGTTATTAAAAAAATATTAAAATATAAAATGGATGAGGATTTTGATTGGCCTTGGCAATACAATTTCCCTCCTTTTTTTACGTAAGTAAATCGTACTGCAATATTTTATTTCATTGTAATTCCAATTAGAATTATAAATTAAGATTTGTAGATTTGGCGTAGTACACATCTATTTATTTTTTTTTTGTAGTATCCAAGTTAACAGAGAAACTCTAAATCTGCAAATACAAGCATGGAAACAATTAGTATTAGACTATTTAAAGGCTAAAAAACAAAGTATTTTAGATGTTAGAGAAGCTCAACAAACTCCTCTATTTCGTAACACAAGTATTAATAGGCAATTATCAGTTGATGGAATTGTACAAGTCATGGAAGACTTGTCCAAAACTGGTCATGCTGAATCCGTTGACAAATCTAAAAACCGTTGGTACATATATTGGGAACCAGTAGAAGAATTAAGTGCAGCAGTGTATAGATGGGCGTCAAACAATGGTTTTATTGGAAGTGTATGTACACTATATGAACTAATTGAAGGTGAGAATACAATTGATGAAGTTTTTTATAATTTAGAAGAAGATGTTTTATTAAAAGTTTTAAAAAGGCTCGAACATGAAAATAAAGCTGAAATAATGATATTAGATGACAGTAAGGGTGTAAAATTTTTTTAGTGTTTACATCTTTTGTTGTGTTAATTATTATTTTTGTACTTTACAATGTTTAAAGAGCTTATTACATTAATTTTTAAAAAAAATTTATTTATGAATGCTAAATCACTGATTTCGTCTCATGCTATTTGTAAGAAGCGATATAACACAAACTTCACACCCGATTTAAAAAAAAAAAAAAATTTATCAATTGTTATGATAATTATTTAATAAAAATAAATTTTTATTAATTTATAAAATATAATTATATTTTAATAATTTAACTTATTTTGTAAATATCTATGAGGTCTACTTTTTCACGGATGAATATAAAAAAAAAAAAACAAATAAATAAAAAATTTTAAATTTTATTTAAGTTAGTTACGACTAATGTTAATTTATTGTACTCATAATATTTTATACCATTAGGCTAAATTTTTAGTTTTTTTACTAAATTCTATTTTGTTAAATAATTATTATTATTATTCTACTCTAATTTGAACTTTTTTTTTAGTATTTCTTTTAAACATTTTACAATAACTATTTTAGCGAACACAATCGTTTTTTGCTTTTTTTTAAGCTTTTGCTTTTATATTAATTTGATTAATTCGACAGGTTCTCTATTTGTAATTAATTTCTTTTTAATATTTCCCTTTTTTTTTCTTATCCCTCTCCATATTCCACTTCTACAAGTAATTGTTATTATTTTATCATTTCTTAAAAATTTACACGATGAACCATTTGGAATAAAATTATCATTGAAATCGATATTGGTTAAATTTGACGTTCGACACCAAATATTTGATTTACTTTTAATTTTAGGTATTGAACAATCTGAAACACCTGAGACAAAAAAAAAAAAAAAAAAAAAAAAAAAAATTTCCCATGGTTTTTTTAAACTGTCACATGATGATTCTTTTAATTGTTTTCTTACATTAGTGGTAAATTATTATTATTATTATTATTATTACCTTTACATTTAGGCATTGGATTTGACCAAGTAAGATCATCCATGCATTGAAGTTGTGTTGAACCGATGGATTCTTTTTCTTTACCGCAAATAACAGTACAATTCGAACCCCAAACGTAATTTTTAGAACATTTAATGGTCGTATCTTTTTCGTGTGCTTTTAACGATGCGCATCGTCTAACTAAAACCTGATAATAATTTTTACAAGTTTTTTTTTTTACATCATCTCCAATCGTTCCCGTTATTGTATGCAAACCCTCGTGAATTATGCTACCAGGTTCAGGTCCCGTCAAATGATTCCATCTAATATCAAAAAAAAAATTTATTTATTTATTTATTTATTTAAAAGGTTTACATTTTATTTATTATTTTAAAACCTTACTTATTAGATGGACAGGGAGGTGGTAGTATGACGTAATCATTTCCTTTTTTGGCAAAAACGATACCATCGGGAGGACATTCCGTTTGGCATAAACCTTCCTGTTCTTTTGCTGTTGTCGTTTTCGATTCTTTCATTTTATTTATTTTTTTTTCACCTTTGTTTTTATGAACCTAAATTATTTAAATTATTTTTTATTTAAATATGGATAAATGATAATAATAATAATATATCGATACGACTTACGTTTTTTCTATTCGGTACGTGAACGGAACCTCCCAACGCAACTTCCGCTTTACCTTTTCCGCTTATTTTAAATAATTTTAATTTATTTTTTTTCTTCAACGTTTTTCCATTATTTTTACTTTTGTTATTTTTTTCATCCGTTTGTTGTATTCCTTCGATCGAATAATAATTTTTCATATTATTATCATTATTATTAGTATTATTTTCCGTTGTTAAATGTCTTTTATTTGATTCGTAATTAATATCGTTTGTTTCGTTGTTTTCGTAAAGGAAATCGATTGATTCTAAATATTTATCGCTAAAATAAAAAAATTAAATAAATTACATTAATAAAGGGGGGAAGGGATTTATATATTTAATTGTGTAAAAACGGTTACCTATTGTCTCGCCTAGTCAGTGATGCCAACTTTCCCGCTGTAAAAAAAAAAATAAACGTTTTTAATTAATTAAGACACACATACATGTAATTAGGATTTAAAAAATTTTTTTTAATTTTTTAAGAAAAGAATAAAAATGAATGAAAAAATTTTTTTTAAAAGTAATTAAAATTTTTTCGTCTGCTTTTTTATTGGTAATCCTTTTTCGCCCTTGACTTTGATTTAAATTTTTTTTTTCTTCGGGGACTTGTTACTGTCTGTTTAATTAAAAAAATTAATGACGATTAAAAAAAATTTCTTAACATTAATTGATGTCATTTATTATTATTATTACTATGTCAATCGATTATATAATTTAATATAAATCCGAAAAAATAAATTATTATTATTATTATTATTAATACTTACATAAAGCAGAAAATAAAATTAAAAACCCAAAAAATGTTTTCATTTTTTTTTTTTTTTAAATAATTTTTCCTTTAAGAATTTTTCTTAGTAAAATTTTTGTGTCTCTTAATTAAAAATTCATTTTATTTATTTTTTATACATCTGAAAAAAAATAATTTTTTATGTTATTAATAATATTTTATTTTCAATAACGTTCACGCGCACGCACACACACACACGCGCGTGCATTAAAAAAAAATTTAATTGAATTAATAATTTTAAAAAAAATTTATTTATGCCATCAAAATTTTAATAAATAAAAATTAAAAATAAATAAATAAATTTGATAATAATAATAGTAATGATAATAAATTATAAATAAAATGATAAAAGAGAAAAATTCAAAAACGTCTTCTGTTAAACTGAAATAATACGTAAAAAAATTTTTTTTTTTTTTTATAAAAAAATTGTTTATTAATTTAATTTACAAACGGATTTCGAAAGAACTTTACACGAGCCGTCTTCTGCTTCGTTAATTATAAAAATAAAAAAATTATATAATGTTAAATTTCGTTCGTTAATTATTATTATTATTAATTTTATCCAAAAAAAAAGGAGAAAAAACTAAATTCGAATTTACCTGTTATGGTAAAAATTTTCTCCAAAACTTTCACTTGTAAAAAAAAATTTTCTTATCAGTTGTGATAACACACGGAGAGGATGGAGATGATGAACGATCAACAGCTCTGTGGGATGAAAACTGACTTGACTCGATTCGTGATTTTTAACATTTAAAATGTTTTTTTTTTTTTTACGTAATAATTATATCCTGTAGTGAGAGAAAGATTTACGCCATTTCTTTTAATTATTATTATTATTATCACTATCTTGACCGTTAATTTTTCGTCATTCAAATTAATTCAAAACATAACTTACAATAAAATTGAAAAGTTTTTTCCTTTTTTTCTAAACCACAAAATAAAAAAATTATTTTCACTTTTTAAAAAAAAAAAATTTTTCTTGTTTTTTACTTCCTCTTATTAAAATAATTTTTTATTTATTTATTTATAACCTCAAACTAAAATTTATTTATTTATTTAAACTTTAAAGTCGTAAATATTTTTTTAAAATGACTTTTAAAATTTAAATTTTTTTTTTAAAAGTTTCAAAGTTATTCGAATCGCCATTTCCATAAAAATTTACAATAATAATTGTGCTAAAACTCCCACACGAAAGTTTTAACTTCAAACTCAATAATTATCATTATTATTATCATTATTATTATCATTATTATTATTATTTTCGTAAATATTCATAACAAATTAAAAAAAAAAACTTAAAAGTTTATACCTTTTTTTAAATATTTATTTTCGAAACAAACAAATTTTTTGTTTTTAGTTATTAACAATAATTTTTGTTGGTCTTATGCGAAATACCCAAATGATAATAATAATAATAATGATAATAATGATGACCATATAGGGAAAACAAGGAGGAGGTTGTTAGATTTTTCGCATCGTAAAAAAAAAAAAAAATGGCGAGAAATAATCGATGAGATTTTTCAACATAAAATTTTTTTAATCAGTGATAAAATGATTATTTTATTACTTAACATCAATAATAATGATGATGATGATGATGATGATGATGATAATGATGATTAATTAAATAATATTAATTTTTAAAAAGGAGTAAAAGGTTAATCCATTTGTATTTAATATATTTAATAATAATATAATGATATTTAAAAGATTAACGGATTAGGATTAGATTTGGTTGTTGTTGTTGTTGTTGTTGTTTGTTATTAAAAATATTTAATAAAATTTTTTTATTAATGTGATTATATAAATAATTATTATTATTTTGCTTTTTTCGGTTTGATTAATTCGACCGAGATATTAAAAAATTTTTATTGATTAACAATTTAACTTAATTTGTTTAGTCTTCCGTTACGTATTAAAATAATTTATCGAATTGTTTTTAGGTATTTGCACCGTTCTGCTCTATTATTATTATTATTGTTAAATAAAAATTCAAATATCATATTATGTGCCACACTAATTCTATGAATTTGTGGTTGTTTGTTGTCTTTAAAAAAAAAAAACGTTACGGTTTTGATCTAAAAGATTCGATTGGGATTGGAAAAAAAAAAAATTTGTAAAATTTCTCTCGTACGATATTCCCTTTTTAAAATTTATTTCTTAATTAATTAATTAATTATTTCGCTGATGATAAAATATAATGACGTCATTCCTATCTCATTATCATTATTATTATTTTTTTAAAAAAAAATTATTTTAAAATCGTTTTGACGCCTTTATGAGGAAAAATAAAAAAAAAATTTTTATTAACAGAATCTTCGATCGTGTTTTCAATTTAAAAATAGAAACAAAAACGAAACCGGAAATTGTGATGTCGACGAATGAAAAATGATGACGTTTAATAACTTCCGTTGTTTCCGTAAAAGACAGACAAAAATTGTTTTCTTATACAGAAAAAAAAAAAAAAAATTTTTTTCATTCGCATCCATCCATCATTCATTGTTTACAATAGTGGAAATTTAAACGACGCGAATGCCATCTAACGTAGATTTTCATAATTAAATTTTATACTCGTTTAATAACAAAAAAAAAAAAATATGTTTACGGTAAAAGTACCCGTTAACAGTTACAAATCTGCACTCGTTAAACGTGGTATTCGTAACTCGTTTTTTTTTTTTTTTTTAAATAATTTACGATGTACGTATAAGAAGTTTGGATTTTTAATTAATTAATTAATTAATTATTATTATTATTATTTGTTTTAAATGTTGGATTAGTCGTTTATTTTTTTTTTTACGTTGTTGAAAACATTAAGGAAAAGTGAACAAGAAGAAGAAGAAAATAATTTATTTTTTTTGCATATATGTAAAATGTTTGCAGTATAATCAAAAGGTAAAAATTTATTTATTTATTTATTAATTAATCAACAGGCAGAAGAAATTTGATTTTTTTTTCTAATCATTAAATAAAAAAAAACGTTAATGGTTTTAATAATTAAAATGAGTTTTAAATGTATTTTTTGTCCTTTATGTGTCATTTACGACCGCGAAAAAAAAATAATAATAATTTTTTGAAATGGTTTTTTTTTTTTTTAAACGCTAATTAATATTTAAATTTGTTTGAAAAAAAATCATTATCATTATCATTATTATTATTATTATTTTATTTTTCTGTTTCGAATGGATTGCATTTTGCTGTTGTTTAAATTTTTTTTTTCTTTTTTTTGGGGGGGAGGAAAAATAATTAAAAATTAATTAATTTTTTTTTTGTTTTGGGTTTGAAAAATTGAATTCGGGGAAAAACAAACAATAATAATAATAATAAATAATAATAATAATAATAATAATAATAATGAAGTGGAAGATTTGTTTCTGTCAAATTTTAAAATATAAATTATTGGAGAAATAAAATAAATAATTTTTGTGAACACGTGGTGATAATGAGATGGAAAATTTTAAAACGATAATCGTCGTTAATTAAAAATTATTTTGTTTGGGGGGAGGGGGGGAAATTTAAGGGTGAAATACAATCGGGGTGGTGGGGAGCAATGTTGTTAAGGCGTTATTTTTTTTTAGAAACGAATCTGATGCGATAAAAAGGCGGGAAATTATTTCTAACACCTGTTGTTTCTCGTACCTGTTTAAATTTTTCAACTCATTTTCCTTGTTTTCAACCTTCCCCTCCCCCCCCGTCTCCATCGTTGTCAAAAAAAAAATTGTAAACGTCGTGAAAAAAAAAAAAAAACATTTAAACTATGAAACAATAAAGTTTGTAACCTAAATACAGGCACGTAATAAGTCAAAAAATAAAAATTTTCTTAATGTAAAAAAAAAAAAAAAA